AATTTTTTCTTGATTAACCAAGTACAAATCCATTATATATATTTTAACAGTTGCAGCAGCTGGTATTTTAGTTTTTTATAAGATTGATTAAATAAATATACAGAATGTTGGCTCCTCTATAAAAGTAAAAGAGTGTTGATTTATAACAATTCATCGAATGAGATTTTGTTTTACTTTTTCAGGTTCATGTATCCACTATATAAAAAATAAATTTTAATACTACTGTAATATTAAAAAATTTTTTGATTAAAGATTTATCAGAATATAAATTTACTTTTATCAGTTAGTTTTTTTCTAAGTGTTTGAAAAGATTAGAGGTATGGCTTCCACTCCAGATATATTTGGTATTGCAATATTTGCAGAAAACTTTTTTACTTTTATTAAAATAAGAATCCTTTGTAAAATAATTCCATACTTTATTTCTATAATTTATTTTATTACTCGATAATACTTCCAAAAAATTACTTGTAACAACATTACTGATATCACTTAATTTATAACTATTTAAACTGAAACTTTTTTATTTATTTTATTGGAATCATTGAAAGAACTATCATATTCCATTTTATTTTTAATATAAATAATACTAGTAATGTTGCAAGGAGAAAAATATTATAAAAAATATCACAAAATTTTAAAAAAACATATAAAGGTATTAAAGGAATATAAAAAAAAATTCAGGAGGTTTTTTTTTAATTATCTTAAATAGCTATATTTAAATATAGTTAAACTGCCAAATTTTATTTGAACCTGGTTAGATTTTAAAAAATTTAAAATCTGATTCATATACAAATAGATCAAAAAATTTAAAATCTGATCCGATCTATTCAGATCAAATTCGTGGATCATTCAGATTTGGATAAAAATTGCAATTCCCTACTTCTTACCACAATCATTGAGAACAATGGTTCCAGTGGGCAAAGAGACATAAATTTTAATTGGAATTTGATTATTTTTTCAGATGAGAGTACCTTTCAACTATTCCCATTATGAAAAAAAGTTTGGCAGTTCAAAGAAAAAAAAAAAAAAGTGTTATACTGTCAAGCACTCATCAAAGGTTCATGTGTGAAAGTGTTTTTAGGCTTTGGGGTTTGGGAGGTTAGTATGCTTCCAGCAGAATCTTAATTCAAATTTTATGGTTAAAATATATAAAAGGGATCTCTTACTTTCCTCTGCCAAATTTTTTGGTGCCGGTAACTTAGAATGGTTCTTGCAAGAAGATAATGATCCAAAGCACCGGTCGAAAATCATGAAAAATTGGAAAGAGAAAGAGGATATTAAGGTACTTCCATGGCCATTAATGTTGCCCGAGCAAAACCCTATAGAAAATGTATGGCGAGTAATGAAATTAAATATTTCAAAAAAAAAATTTTGATCAATAGGATGGTTAAAAATGTTAATTAGAAAAGAATGGAAACAATTCTCACCTGAATTTGCTGCTAAATTGGCATTCAGCATGCGTCGTCGTGTAGATGCTTTAATAGAATCCGAGGGGGACTATGCGGTGTATTGAGAATCAGCGTTAGTGGTGAAGTTTTTTTAAAAAAATTTTTTTTAAATTGACTTACCGGTTTAGGAAATAAGAGGGGTCGGTTACTTATGTCCAGAAGTGCCACCCTAATATGAATATACCGATGATCAGCGGTAAATGCATCCGAGCCAGAAAATTTCTCCGATGACGATGAATTCACTAACGATAACGAAGAAGATGTGGTTTTTCTGATGACGATGATGAAGGTTATTATTATGATTTAAATACCGGCGAAACTTATACAAAATCGAACCGTTCAGTCTATGCCTATTAGATACAGAATTTCTTGCTTTGCAGACAACAAACATTTATAAACGATACATGTATCCGGCACCTGTGTGCCTATATTTTTTATTGTAACAATAAAGCGAATATACATATATTTTACCGAATTTATTAAAGCTGAACCTGGTGGCTATTTTCGTATATTTAATCGCGTTCACTTTCATTTGTAATTCGGGATTTATTTTATTGCATTGATATTGATACGATCGAAAATTTTTCTTGACGGCCGTCGCCGAATTTTGATCATGTGATTTAATATTTTTTATCCGCTAAGTATTTGTTCACATGACTCGACCAATGCACATATCACAAAAGTTTGTAAACCAGCTTACGTTACTTCGAAAATAATACATCGTGGAGTTTAGAAACTTTTCTACACTGGAGTACATTCTATGCTCACGATTTTGGAAGTAAAGACAATGAACATCGTATTTACAAAACGTATTTAGAAAATATTCGTAAAGATCCGAATCTAATAAAATCTCGTGATAATGAAACAGTTCGAAAGTTAGCAGAAGAGGCCTTAAAGAAATTTACGGTTTGTAAACTTTATTAATGTTTTTAACCAAGAGGTGCTAGGATACGTCTGACAGCCCACTGGACACGTCTGGTGGGGCACCTTAGGATAAGTCTGAATGGGTTTTTTTTCTGCTTTATTTATTTAGGATGAGGTAAATTCAGCTCAAGTTAATGAACTTTGGAGAGAGTGCCCATCCTTTATAGAAATTTGAAGAAAGCAATAGACCTTAATGCTGATAAGATGGCTTCTCGAGTGGCGGTGTTACGTGATAACTTCAGCGATACAATCTTTAATGTTACCCAAGATCAATTACGATTTGGTTTTGGTATTACATTTAAGTCCTCATATTTCTTGTTTCAATTGAGTAAACTTAATAATGAATATTGGTAATATTGTTAGAGCGTAAACGGTCTTATTTTCCTGAGGAAAAGTCACACGAGTTACAACCGAAAAAGACAAAAGTTGGCAATTTTACTGAAGAGGCAAATGATAACTATAATGGCAAAAAATCTCTCACAGCAATAGTATGCTTTATTGTTTTTAACTCACCTTTTTGTATTCTGCAGTCTATTTTCAGATAGAAAATAAATTAGATATTTAGCTAGAAATTAGATCAACAAAGCTAATTATTTGCGTCCCAATGCTTTTAGAATGATGGTTCCGAAGTCCAGAGGGATACTATATTAAATGAATTAATCGAAATAATTGATGAATTGGACAGTGACGCTGAATCAATTATCGGAGATAAGTGTGAAGAAATTGAGATGCTTACGCAGGTATTTATTTATTTACTACTCTTAGTGTTTTTTATATAACTAATAATAATTATTTAATTTTCAGGACGAGATGGACATCCATAACAAATTACTCAAGATTCTTACTGCATGTCAAAAAAAAGATAGAGGATGGAAAAGATTTTTTGACATCAATATGCCTTAACAATATTATAAATTTATCAGACAACGAAACATATAAGCATGTTAAAAAGTCCTTGAATAAGGATCAAATTTCTTGGCTTGAAGGGGTCCTCCAGAAAAAAATTTGGAAGCCTACTCCGGAATTTACGGAATATATCAACCAATTCACTGAAGAAACCTGTACTCGAACCAATATTCCAACAATTGTTCGCAAATCCTGTGTTACTGAAAGATTTGATTCTTTTTATCACGAAGCACATGATATTGCTCAGCATATACTAACACATTTGTAAGTATTCTTATGTTGACAGTTAACATTAACCAAATTTCTTATGATCAATTTTTTCGAAAATATTTCTTTACGCCTAGAGGCACCAATGAGAGTCGAATACAAAGGCCTCAATTTAGAAAGAACTTATGCTATAGACACAATAATTTACATTTTAAATAGGTTATTTAGGATGTACCAAGACGAGTTAGATGTTGCTTGGTAGGTATCAGTCTAAATTTCAAATTTTAATTTATAATCTTACTAATTAATTGATTTTTTTTAATTTAAGGATTGAACAAATTACTCCAGACACAAAAAATTGTAAATTCGATGGGTTATATAAAGTTATTAGCACAAGAGGCAAAGGTCAAACTATTGTTATTATTGAATTTTCACGTGGAAGAACAACTCCCATGTCCAAGAGAGATTGTGATTCGCTTAAGCTTTGCCGAAACGCTATGAGAACTTTAAATGTATTATTAGGAAAGGTACCCAAGGAGCGTGCACGCGTCTACTTAGTGCAGTCATTTAGTAAGTGATTATAATTGGGAGTTAGATCGTACAAGATTACTTTTTGACATATGTTATGTTTCTTTATAGACGGATTTATTGAAATTAAATATTTAGTTCGACCACTGCCAACAATTTATATGTTACAACAATTTATATGTTACAACAATTTGGGTGCATCAAAATACCTGCCACCTTTGGTGATTTCGAACAGTTTTCAAAAGACATGATATGCTTGATGGATTGGCAGGTAGAGTATCAAACATACTTGTTGATAGCTCTATCAAACAAATAATAATCTTTTTTTTATACAGATGTCTTGTCAACAGCTAGAGCAGTAAATAAAGCAACCACGAATGTCATGGAAATAATAACATTTGTATAACTTCGGTAGATGATACTCCACAAAAGAAAAAAAGTAACAAAAATCAACCTAAATCCCCATCTCCCGGTTCCAAATTGTCGGGTTGCGCTATCAAGATTCCTGGAAAATACGTTATTTAGAAAAAAAAATTCAAAAAATTGATATCAACTGATTTTACATTGTATCATTCAAAAATTTTTTATAATGATTTGTAAAATTTTCATTGGAATTTTTGACGACGGACCGTCGCTGAAATTTTTATTACTTTTTTTTTTTTTTTTTTGAGTACCCGTAGCCAGGCTAGATTGTCAGTTTATTAATAAATTGAAAACACAAGTACATTTTCATTCGAGCAGCATGATATATACAGTACTACAGCTAAACTATTATTCTAATCTAACTAACTTGTCTTAAGCATAAAAGCCTCTAAGTTCGGCCTTAGGGACAATATTTTGCTCCGCAGTGTTTTTGGGTAAAAATCCTCCTAGTCCACTGCATTATTGTCAGCAGGTTGTCATTGCTGTATGTCATACCAAGCTGTTGAAATACAGGAAACTACAAAAGAATGGGTTGAAAAAAAGGGGAGAAGGATATCTAAAAATATCTAAACAGACAACAAGAAAGTGAAAAAGTAAAAATTGAAAAAAAATATTTCTAGCTTTCTTCAAAGACCTGCTTTTCAAGACCTCTTCTCAATAAGAAATGCTCAATTGGGATATTCTTTCTTTTTCTGACCATCTGAGAAACTTATCCATT